ACCACAACAATTAGGCGCCGATATATCTGTTGCTTCCATTCCTATTCGTCTCCATATTCTACTATATGGTTGGTCTGAACAGCGGTGTAATCCAGTTCTTCACGTGTGCACTCATCAGCGTATTGGTGGCCAACACTGCGTGCAGTTTCGGTTACTTCATCTCATGCCTGACCAGTGATGTGACCATTGCGTTGGCGCTGACACCGCCAGTGATGGTCGCCTTTCTTATATTCGGCGGCTATTTCTTAAACAACAGGTAAATTGAAATTACATTTATAAGTTAATCACAAGATTTACCGTACATTCAATTTTGTTTGGCAATTATCATTTTGATGGCCACAACAATCAACAGTTCAGTTCCCGTGTATTTCATATGGTTTAAGTACATGTCGTGGTTCTATTACGGCAACGAAGCTCTGGTCATCAATCAATGGCGAAACATTCATCACATCCACTGTCCGTCTGATAACAGCACTCTAGAGATGGCTAACTATACGACAGCGACGGCGACGACAGGCCATTGCATAAGAACCGGTCGGGAAGTGATCGAAACGCTTCACTTCTCGGAAAACCGCTTCACCGCCGATATTACCGCACTTTTGCTCCTCATTCTAGTCTTCAGGTCAATGGCATTCATCGCACTCTTCATGCGCTCCACAAGACGTTAGGATAAATACATACATAATATATAATTTAATCATCGATAGTATCCATCGATACTTGTGTTCATTTCAATTGTAGCACATTTTTATATAACTGTATTTATACTTAAAAAACTAGTTTAATATAACTATTTATATAATATTTTATATTTGAATTTCATTTTGTTTTAATTTAAATTAATGGATAAAACGTTTATCATTGATATGTTTATAGATTCACAATAAAAACATCCCAAACGGAAACTTGAATGAAAAAAAGTTTTATTTAAACTGAATTTGAGTAAATAATTGTCATTTTTATGATTAATTTTAAGACAAAACGCCACTAAATAAAAAAAACAAATAATTCATTAAACAATAAGTGATATTAAAAAACAGATTCACACGAAATACAATGCATATTAAATACACGAATGAAAAAAACAAAATTCACATTTAAAATCAATTCCTAGATATGGTTACAGAGAAATGATTTTACAATTAATTATAAATTCGGATATGAATTATACGGTGTTATGAGTGGAAAGGCGTTTGAATTATACATTTAGAAAATAGGATTCAAAATATATAGTTCATTAATCACTGCGTTTACCACCGTTTAAAACCGCGATTATATCCACGGCCGCCGCGTCCGCCACGAAAACCGCCTCTATTTCCGCCCCGGAATGAACCTCTCGTCCCGTTATTATTGTCATTGTTATTATTAAATCTCTTCACTCCTCCGCTAAACTTTCCGCCTTTTATACGACAAACAAAACAAATAAATTAGACAACAATTACAGGCAATCAAATGGTATGTCATACTCGGCGGGGCGTATATTTTGCGGTCCTTTTTCGGATCAGACGACCCCTCGGGCGCTGTAATCGGCTGTCTTTTTGAAGGTTTGGCCGTCGCATCAGTGGCTCCGTCGGCGGGGGTAGCGGTCGTCGCCGCCGCTGTCGTAGTAGTACTCGTTGTAACCGTAGGACTCGTCACAACAGTGAGTGGCTTCGCAGTGATGGCGGCCTTAGAGACGGGCGGTTTCCACGACAGAGTATATGAACTGAATTTTGAGCCGCCTTAAAACTTCTCAAGCGCTTGGTTACACAAATATAACAATCACCAGAACTCTCGGTAGTGAAAGTAGAATAAGAGCAGGCTAAAGTCACGGAGAGGAAAGTGACTCGACAAGTGTTTCCGTAGTTTCGCTAAATAGCTTTGAACTCCTATTTAAGAAAAAACACATCCATTTGTAAGACATTATCGCAAAAACGAGTGCAATATTTCGGGTAACAAACCTCTGGCCACGTATTGGAGCCGAAGTTTGAAATCCTTGACGCGTTCCGACTGAGAGTCCGATAGGAATTGGGGATAAAATCGACACAATTGTTGAAAAGTATATAATAGACACTCGATGTGCGAGAACTGAAGAGTGGGTTCGTCTCCGTTTGCGGTGCTTTCGGCCGCCGTTTCCAATAGAGGAGGGGTTGGCATGTATTCCAAGAGTTTGGTAAACACTCGCGACAAACACTTCTCGATCTCAATGGCGTCCGTATTTGGCGACAGAAAAGCCGACATTTCGGCCAACACTTGTAGAAAATCCAATTCAATGCCCGACTGTTTGGCCTCCAATTGTGTCAATTGAGTCAACACTTGAAGGCAAACGTATTTTACAAAATCAGTTGACGGAACAAATTGCTGTCCAAAACAAACAAAAGGCAAACACATTAACACTCGTGACAAACATTCATAGATTATGATCTATACTAACGGAGAAGAATGGGATTCCGTGTCTGATTGATAGCAGGAGTTTGTCGGCGAAATCAATTTCCGATGGCTTTAAGTGCAAACAATAAAAGCAATTAACAAAACAGTGATACTAATAACGAAAGATCAATGTTAGCAACACTTACATCGAAAGTTGTATTGAGTTCCGCCTGTTCTTTGACGATCTCCATGAGGGTCTGCTGACCGCTCAGGCATTTAGATATCTTCAGACCACCCAATAGTGTCATAAACGTAATGAACTCGTCTTTGGTCACGTCGGCCATCGCTTTTCTACTCTCATCCAAGAAATATTCCTCCACTTCTTTGGTCAGTATATCGCTGGGAATGAACTTAAAGCGATCCTTCAAGAACTTGATGGCTCTCTCGCGCACCACGTCTTCGCCGCTAACAATCTGACAGAAGAGACCGCTGAAGAAGCCCTTCGCGTCGTATTTGGCTAAAGTGGTCAACGATTGGTTCACAATCGTTAGCTCTGTGTTGTCCTCCGTCTGCAGCAGTTGTGCCAAAACGTCCGCTATTTTGGTCACATATTCTTTGCGTTCTTTACATATATTCGGCAACTCTTTGATGGCATGTCTTCTGATCTGAAAGTTCGCAAAACAATAACACCATTCAAATGACAACACATGGGAACAGATGGCGAAGAAGTAAAGTAACAGACATTGATGTCGTCGTCTTCGCAGAGGTCGAGGAGGGCGTCAATGGCTGTGTCGTAATGGTTGGGAAAGTGGACAAAGAATTTCGGTATGAATTGTGAGCACAACTGCTTCTCCTGAGGACTGCCCTTCACTGCAGACAATATCGACAAATACGAGGACTCGAACTATTGGATCAAATGAAGACAATTCAATGCATTGTTATTAGTTGTCGACAATCTGTTCTCCGACCGTCAATACTGGCCGCGAAGTGATATTGCCCCAAATGGCCATTTCATGTGATATCCGCGGATATAACTGCGAATTACTCGGTTATGCCCGCGGAATAATACCCGCGTAACTCAAACCCCGTTATAGTCAAGCGATCTTATAGTGTATTCACACAACTAATGGTTAAATCAATGACTAAATCAATGGTTAAATAGTGTTTGAAATGACAGACTTGAGTGATGTTGTCCTTCGCGGCGTCCAATTGGTTGTAGTCGTCGTACAATTGCGACAATTTATCACTCATTTTGATCCCAAGAAATTCAATACAATTATTATGAATGAAAACAAAAACAATTAAATCAATGAATGACTGAAATCGTGAGCAATAAATTTTGTCAAACAATTTGTCGTTTAAATCATCGCTTGTTTTGAAATGTGTTTTCAAAATGCAATCAAAAAAGTCTTTCACAAAAAAACATGCATTCATTCAAAACACCACAAAAACTGCACACAAATGACGTCCGCCTATAATGTGTGGCCATTAATAACGTGTCATATGTTTTAACGTATGATTTCTTATAGCGATTTTAATGTTAGGCGAGTTTTAATTGTTTTTTATTGTAATTGAAATCACAGTTTAATTATAATTTATAAATATTGCACACAATTAACGTATAATGTGTTCAACGCTTGAGTTGTCGTCAATTATTGCCAAACAATTACCAAATATTGATCAACACTTAACCAATTATATCATCGGTATGTATCACATGAGCTGATCCGGTGCTGCAGCTGTACAGCAAATGTGTGGCTCTTTAAATGTGACCACATTTTTATCACTAATTGATTTCGTGGTGTCTTGTCTTCGCCGCTCAGGTGTCCTGACGTGCGATACGTTTGATTCGGTGGACGAGATAACGGATGCGATCGGCGAAGTACTCAAATCGTGTTGCGGTGACTACGAGACCGACGCCGGAAATGATGACCAAATTGAGGCCCTTTGCGGACAACTCTTTGACGCCATTAATATGTCAGTTGTTTAGTCTCTGAACACTATAGGACTAATTGAGTGACAATTGTGTGTTGTATTTCTTGGCACAGAAATGAGAGCCAAACGAATGGCTCGGATTCGTCGAAACAGCGTCTCTTAGCGCCCGTCCATTTGGGTTCAATGGTGTCCCGATTGGACGACTCGGCGACCGACTGGAAGTCCATCTGGACTCAGGGCCGCGAAAAGGAGACTCAAGTGGACAGCAAGAAGTTGGCCAAAGCTGAGGCCAAAATCAAGCAAAAGATTGATAAAAGAGACGGCAATACGGATGCCTTCAAACAAACAATAATCAACAGCTGTTAGACAAGAGGCTGGCAGTTATGACCGGCGCTTCACTATAACGGGGTTTACCGGTAAAGTACACTATAGGCGCCTATATTGACGCTTAATGAGCCAATACGGGCGCCTCTAATACTCGCGTAACCCAAACCCCGTTATAGTCAAGCGATCTTATAGTGTATTAACGCAACTAATGGTTAAATCAATGACAAAATCAATGGTTAAATAGTGTGTTAAATGACAGACTTGAGTGATGTTGTCCTTCGCGGCGTCCAATTGGTTGTAGTCGTCGTACAATTGCGACAATTTATCACTCATTTTGATCCCAAGAAATTCAATACAATTATTATGAATGAATGAAAATAAAAACAATTAAATCAATGAATGACTTATAAATCGTGACCAAAAATTTGTCAAACAATTTGTCGTTTAAATCATCGCTTGTTTTGAAATGTGTTTTCAAAATGCAATCAAAAAAGTCTTTCACAAAAAAACATGCATTCATTCAAAACACCACAAAAACTGCACACAAATGACGTCCGCATATAATATGTGGCCATTAATAACGTGTCATATGTTTTAACGTATGATTTTGTTCAGCGATTTTAATGTTAGGCTTTTTTAATTGTTTTTTATTGTAATTGAAATCACAGTTTAGTTATAATTTATAAATATTACACACAATTAACGTATGATGTGTTCAACGCTTGAGTTGTCGTCCATTATTGCCAAACAATTACCAAATATTGATCAACACTTAACCAATTATATCGTCGGTATGTATCACTTGAGCTGATCCGGCGCTACAGCTGTGCAAATGTGTGGCGGCTCTTGAAGTGTGACCACATGTTTGCCACCATTTTTATCGCTAATTGATTCCGTGGTGTCTACTCTTCGGTCCGCAGGTGTCCTGACGTGCGATACGTTTGATTCGGTGGACGAGATAACGGATGCGATCGGCGAAGTACTCAAATCGTGTTGCGTTGACTACGAGACCGACGCCGGAAACGATGACCAAATTGAGTCCCTTTGCGGACAACTCTTCGACGCCATTAATATGTCAGTTGTTTAGTCTCTGAATACGACTATAGGACTAATTGAGTGATAATTGTGTGTTGTATTTGTTGGCACAGAAATGTGAGCCAAACGAATGGCTCCGATTCGTCTAAACAGCGTCTCTTAGCGCCCGTCCATTTGGGTTCAATGGTGTCCCGATTGGACGACTCGGCGACCGATTGGAAGTCCATCTGGACTCAGGGCCGCGAAAAGGAGACTCAAGTGGACAGCAAGAAGTTGGCCAAAGCTGAGGCCAAAATCAAGCAAAAGATTGATAAAAGAGACGGCAATACGGATGCCTTCAAACCGATCATTCAAATGGTGAAAGAGGCCACTGGTATTGATATTGATTTAATCCACTGTTTTAATGAATTTGTGTTAATTTTGTGATATATTTGTGAAGCGAATCAACAAATGTCCAAAAAGGACGTGAAGTCTGAGGCGAGGGGTAGTAATAAAACCAAAGACATTAAGATTGACAACTTTGATGTGGCTTTCGGTGATCACGTTCTCCTCAAATCAGCTCAACTCACACTCGGTTTGCACTCAATTTTCATGTCTTAAGATTTAGTTTATAAACGAAACGATTTATAATGTTTAAGGCTATGGCCGTCGCTATGGTCTGTGCGGTCGCAACGGTATCGGAAAGTCGACATTACTTCACATGATATCGAACCGATCGCTTGTGATTCCCGGACACATCTCTATACTACACGTGGAACAGGAAGTGATCGGAGACGACACACTGGCCATCGATTCGGTGCTGGAGTGCGATGTCGTGCGCAATGGTTTGTTGAACGAAGAGAAACAGTTGTCAGCCCTTAACGACCCAACGCCTGAACAAACGGAACGCTTGAGTGAAGTGTATCAACATTTGTCGGCCATTGAGTCGGATAAGGCGCCGGCGAGGGCTTCCATCATACTGTCGGGTCTGGGATTCACGACTGATATGCAGAGACAGGAGACCAAAGCGTTTTCCGGCGGATGGAGAATGAGAATAGCGTTGGCTCGAGCCCTGTTCTCGCGGCCCGATCTGCTACTACTCGACGAGCCGACCAACATGTTGGACATGAAAGCCATCATTTGGTTGGAACAGTACCTCATCAACGAATGGGAGTCAACGCTATTAGTGGTGTCACACGACCGCACATTCCTGGCCTCAGTGCCCACAGATGTGCTTCACTTTCATTCGCAACGTTTAGACAATTATAGAGGAAATTACGAACAATTTGTCAAATCGATGGGAGAAAAGCTGAAGAATCAAATTAGAGAATATGAGGCACAACAGGCCTATAAACAACACGTCCAGGAGTTCATCGATAAGTTTAGATACAACGCCAAAAGGGCTTCACTCGTAAGTCTCTCTACTATTTGTTTAGTGAGTAAATTGTTAGTTAATATGTATGTATTTTGTTGTGAATATTAGGTTCAGAGCAAAATCAAAGCGTTGGAACGGCTGGAAGAGGTGGAGGCCGTGGAGAAAGAACCCGACGTTATATTTAGATTCCCAGAGCCGGAAGCACTGATACCACCGATCCTGCAGTTAGATGAGGCCACCTTTGCCTACGAAAAAGGGAAAGTGATTTTGAATAAAATCAGTTTAAACGCTAACCTCGAGTCCAGAATATGTATTGTCGGCGACAACGGGTCCGGAAAGACAACACTATTGAAGCTATTGACTGGAGATCTGGACCCCACAAGTGGTATACGACACGCGCACAGGAATCTGGCCATTGGCTACTTCAGCCAACACCACGTCGACCAGTTGTCTATGAATTTGTCTCCATTACAGTTCATGGCCTCTAAATATCCCGGTATTTATTGGTTTGTGATTTTATTTGACAAAAAAATTAAAATCTCATTTGAATTACAGGAAAGAATGAGGAGTACTATCGCAGATATTTAGGCAGTTTTGGTATAACCGGTGATCTGAGTCTACAGTCGATGGCCTCGCTATCCGGTGGCCAGAAATCGAGAGTCGCTTTCGCTATCATGACTCTAACGAAGTAATTGATCCGTTATTTAACATTTGTATCCAATTATATGTTTATATTAATTGTGCAATTTTTGTGTCTTTAGCCCACATTTGCTAATACTTGACGAACCGACCAATCATTTAGACGTGGAAACAGTGGAAGCGTTGGCCAAATCGTTGAACACATACAAAGGGGGTGTGATTTTGGTGACACACGACCAGCAAATGATTGAATTGGTTTGCAAAGAGCTCTGGTATTGCAATAACAAATCGGTCTCTTGTCTGGAGGGAGGGTTCGCAGAGTACAGGCATATAATTGAAGCCGATTTGGCGAACATTAGATAAGCAATTAGCCGACAATCGGTTTAGCATTTATTAATAATTATTAAGTTATTTAAGAGTTATTTCAAAATAATTCAAAGCATGAATATAATAATAGTATGGTTTATGTGATTCCTATTCTCTATCTTAACTCTTCTCTCTCTCTCTATTTCCCGACTATTTTTGTTGAGTTTTAAATGAAAATTTATTTTTTAATTTTTTTTGTAAATTATTAATACAATTATAAAACATGTGAAATGAAAGGGTCGAGTGTTCTGGCGGTTCACGACTCGAAATTGTATGATATTTATAATCAACGGTTAAATAAGTCTTTTCATCAGTTGTCAAACCATTTGTTTGAAACACAAAAAATACATTCAATTGTAAACGTGAACGAGATTTACGCCTCGTTTATACACTGTATTTGAGACCATCTCTTAATAATCACTTAATTTATAATAAATGAATGAATTAAAAGCAATTCTAATATTTAATTTATTTATTAATACTGTTTTAATACAAATAAAAGTGAGTTTTAATGGTAACGTATGGCAAACAAAGACCATAATTACAAATTAAATACATTTTTAAATGACATAATAAATGGTATAATAAAGTGGTAAATATAGTATAAACTCGAAATCAAATGATAAATATTAGTTAATTAGTTAAAGAGTAATTGAATTGCTCGACAACTAAATCAATTAATGCTTTCTAATTATAATAATTATGCAAATAATGAATGAAAATAATAATAATAATGAGAATTTTCATCAATTAATTAATAATAAACCGATAATTAATTAAAATGAATGCGAAAAATACCCGAAAAACGATTGGCAGACACTGAGAGAAAGATAGAGATAGAGGTATACATTCACTAAAAAACAGGAGCGACCGATAAAATGAATATAAATTAACTGTTATATCAAAAATAAATTAAATATCAAAAACCGTTTGAAATGTTTTGTTTAGTTTATAAATGAAATACAGAATTGAGACCACGATTTAGGGCCAAACGGGCAGTTTGTCGATGGCTTCCTTCTCCTGGTCGCCGTCATCTCTGGCCATAATCAACGTGTGGGCGAACCCGCAGACCACGTCATGCGTGTAAATGCCTTCCATTGGCTTCACTTCTTGCGGTGTAGTCGACGACTTGGCTTTGTTCTCGCCGTAACCCAATTCGCCTGTCATTCAAATACATTCACGCATTAATTCAATCGCGAATTAGTGATAACACTTGTATTCATTGCATACCATATGTAGGCGACGGACCCCACGAGATGAGACTGTCGTCGGCGGCCAACACAATGGATTTGTTGGCGCAACCGATTGACCGCACATTCCAGCCGTTCAAGTCCTGCACGTTCTTCGGATACATAGTCGCCTCACCGGACGACTTGTTCTGACCCCAGAAGTACAGCAAACCGTTCTCATCGATCGCCATCGAGAACGTGCCGCCGCTGAAGATGCTCTTCACGCCGCGATTCAGCGAATCAAATGTCTTTATATTCCTCGGCATCAACTCGTCCTTTGTCTGTCACAAATTGGTCCACAAAATGATAAGTCAATCGATAAAACAGGGAATAAGTGTCGACAACAAACCTCTGTGTGTCCTAACCGGCCGTAACCGCCGAAACCCCACGAAAAGCACCTCTTCTTGCGGTCGATGGCCAGCGAGTGATTCACACCACACGTCACGTCCAAAATGGACACGTCTTCGAGCGGTAGTATATGTCCTTCGCGTGTCTTCTCGATAAAGAAGACCAGTTTTCTGGGCGTCAGTTCACACCTGTAGGCGAGCTTATTGCCCGACGCGAAGTACTTGCCTTCGCTATTGTGCCCTACAATACAATCAATCCATTATTACTACCAAAGTTTGCCTCAAATTTCAAACAAATTATAGCAACAAATAGACAGACATCACAATTAATGCACAACCAATTGCTTATCAGATAAATAGTGAAGTTTTTGCGGCAATTATTAGTCATTGAATAAGCAATGAATACAATGAATAGTGAATGTAAATACAGACCTAATTGTCCGTATTCTGGAGATCCAAATGAGTATAGATTGCCGACGGCGTCCAAAATCATGCTGAACTCCGCGCCGCACGACATCTTCGCCACTGGCTTTCCCTTATATAACACCTGCGAAACCAAATCCCAAAACAATTTCATTATAACAACCAAAATGTATTGATTGGCGGCGCGAAGACATACCCTCGTGGGAGTCATGACCGACTGGCTCTGTGAGCCGATACCCAACTGTCCCATCTTATTGTCACCGCAAGCGAACACTTGTCCCTTAGACGTGAGGAACAGTGTGTGCGATCGGCCGACAGCGCCGCCCACGATCTGATGGCTGGCCAACCCGTCCACGACAGTGGGCTCGTTGCGTGTCTTCACGTCTCCGTGGCCTAACTGGCCCTTATCGTTGCGGCCCCACGTCATCACTTTGCCCTCTTCGGTGATTATCATTGAGTGACACGCCGTACACGAAGAGACCAACGCTCGCACCCGATATGGGGTCTTATGCGGTGACCACAGATTCTTGCCTTCAAATTAGTTTTAAAATACAATACATTAAAACTCTTGTCAATTGTCACTAAACAACACAAATCGTTATGTCAATAGTTAACACAAACGGGTGTCGACTGTATTTTGCCGGCAAAAGTGACAGTTAATTATAGGAAACAAAACAAATAACACGTGATAATTATGTGATCGTAACAATACCGGGCGCCTGTTGTGCGGCAGTTTTGGCCGCTTTGGGCAACTCTTTGCGTCCGATGAGATCCCAATTGGTTCCGCCGCAGACCAGTAGTCGACCGACGAGTTCGGGCAGTTTGGGCTGAAGGGCGATGTCCTGCTCGCCGGTGGCGTCCGTCCCGTTGTCTTCGTCGACGTGACTGTTGTTATGGTTGTTATTCTTGAAGGGATTGTCTTTATTGTTGTCATCGGAATCAAAGTCATCGCCAGAGGAGGAGAAGGAGTCCCTCTTCTTGCGCTTCTTCGCCGCCTCTCCGGCCTTTCCCTTGCGTTTTGTCTGCGGTTTCTTCGCTGTCTTCGGTGGCATCGCTTCCGGTGTGTGTTGTTTAACCGCTTCCGATGTCCGCTCACTCTCTCACTCACCACTGGATAGGCGTCCGAAGGGTTGGTCTTAAGCGGAAGTGTTGGCCGCAAATCGTGGACTCAATTCGCGGTTTGTTTTAATGTTTTAATTGTTTGTATTTTTTTTGACTCAAAAATACATTTACTTTACATTTGAAACAAAAGGAGATTTTGAGCCAAAACTAGCGCTCAATAGATGTCTCGCTTTCGCAGCACAAAACAATGCCTTCAATCACTCATTTCCCGGCTTTTTCTCATATAATTGGTCCGCACTTTTGGTACCTTTTTATGCGTTAGACGTCTATGTGTTTTGTACTCATAGAATGGCCCGAAATGTACTCTAGTTTTGTTCAATAAGTGGTTCGTTCATCAATTATGTTGAGTAAAAAGTTTGCAATGAATTAAGGAAATAACACCCGCCAGGGCGTTTCGGGCGTAAGGCACCCGCCGGACGTTTATAGGGGCGCGTATTTTGTCCGCCCGGCGTCCGTCATATCGACGGTATTTTGTATTTTTCTCGAAAACTAATATAGTTATTAAAACCAAATGTTTTTCATAATATTGTCGTCATTGATGCGCGCATTTTAAGCCATCTAACATAGATGTCAGACCTACTGATCAATCGGTAGATTTATTCAAAAGTGGTGCCCTATGAGTGCTAAACAATAGAGAGAAGACAAGCGCTGAAGAAGTGGTCGACTCTGAAGACAATGAATCAAATGATGGCATCGATTGGCATATTAATGATGAGATAGTCATTGGAAGTGATGCCGAAGACAATGAGGACAACAATCATATGAATGAAGACTTAAATAATAAAACTAAAGAATTAAATGAAGAAATAAATTGCGTTTCAAGTGATGAGACAATCATTGGAAGTGATGGCGAAGACTATACCAGAGATGAGATACAAAGTGATTCCGAAACTGATTTGAAGCCAAAATCAATCAAAAAGTGTTCAAAAGGTGTGAAACGAAAGCATAAATTAAACAAAAGTAAAAATATTGCGAAGAAAACAAAGACAAACAAAAACAAATCCAAAGACAATAAGACAGGGCTTAAGACAGACAACGATTCCAAAGTATACCGAAACCCGGATTACGAGCGAAACTATATCTGTCATCACAAGGACTGTCGTATGGATTATATATCGCTCTCAGACCTAAGGAGACATTACAAGAATACTAAACACTTAGACCACCGATGGTTCTGTAAAATAGACGGCTGTTCACAACATTTTTCGTCCGAACGTAGGCTTAAAGAGCACACAAAACACACGTCTGGACAGCCGTTCACGTGTTGGCACTACGGCTGCGACTTTGAGGCCATAACACGGGATGTGTTTGACATTCACACCGACACCCACTCCACCGATGATCTGTTCCGTGGCGTAGCCTTTGCATCAGTGAAGCCACAGTTTGTGTGCCAACACATGGGTTGCGGCAAACGATTCCCGCAATATAATCAGTTGAAGAGTCATATGATTACACATTCGGGCGCCCAATACCGGTGCGAAGTGGACGGCTGTGCGGCTATATTTCCGCACCCAATGTATCTGAAGCATCACGTGGCCCGAGCGCACCGATCGGACTGCCGGTGCTCTTATGGCGGCTGTGAATTCGCCACCGGAACCCCATACCTATTATCCATACACGAGCGCACCCAACACTTAGCTGCCAAACGGTTCCCGTGTTCAGTGACCGGTTGTCCCAAACGGTATAATATTAAACGGCAGTTAAATGCACATCACCTGCGCGTACACCCGGAAGCGCTGCCTGACATGCCGTGGCTCGAGTGCCCGCACTGTCAGTATAGGATTAAACACAGGCCCGATATGGCCGCACACGAGGCCACCAATCATAAAAAGACCTATCCGTGCGATGAGTGCGGCAAATGTTTTCTATACATATCATATTTGGAAAATCATCGGATGTGTCACAACCCGGAGCTGAAAAAGCTCTGCGAATGGCCCGGTTGTGACCGTCGGTTTCCTTCAGACGCCGCTATGAGATTACATATGCAGTCACAACACGCGGACACTACTCCAGCATATCAGTGCCAATGGCCCGGTTGTGATAAAGCATATTCACATCCAACTTCACTGGCTATGCACGAGAGACGTGTCCACAAAGGAGTGGCCGAACATCGGTGCCATTGGCCCGACTGTCACTATCAGACCACTAATCGGGTCCGACTTCACAGTCATATCAATGGCCACAAGGGTTTGAAGGCTTACCAGTGCTCTCATCCGGGATGTGATTATGAGAGCAAAAGGTGTGCAGAAATGGATAATCATATGAAGACTCACACAAAAACATAACTATTATTACATATAATAACTTATATCCTTTAATTTGAATTTATTTGAATTGTTTTAATTTTTCACAGTTTATGCAAAGATTATTTGATTGTACTAATTATTAAATGTTTGTTAAATGGATTTATAACTTCTTATTATTTAATTTTGAATAAAACTTTTATTTAATACTAATTATTAGTAACTAATAGTTATACTATTTACTTTAAGTTTTTGGACGTTATGTCTGTAAAATTGTGTTCACATGCAAATCATTCCCCAGGACTAAAAATAGGTCCGTAAAGTACGTCCATAATTAGCGCTTTGTTCAATAAACGGGGATCAATACTCAAAATTGTGATGTCAGTTACTTGTTCAATTATGAAATGGTCTTTTTTGCAGTAAAACTAAATTTACAAATAAATTATATAATTTACGTCATTATTTAATTTAAAACGGTAATAATAATAATTATTATCATTTATTTATTTAATCAATAATTTTAATCAATATACTTTTTACTGCAAAAAAGACCATTTCATAATTGAACAAGTAACTGACATCACAATTTTGAGTATTGATCCCCGTTTATTGAACAATCGCGATTAATACCTGCATGAAATGCCTGGATAAAAATCAGGACGCGAATGATTTGGTATTGAAGAATAAGCGATAGAAAAGTGAAGAAATTTCTGGAAAAGCATTGAATGAATTGTTCGACCGATTGATTGATTGACTGCTTTTGACAGACAGACAGCGATTGCCATCCATTCAGACCATCACAACAGCTGTTCGTCCATTCATTGACACCACTCTATACCACACAGTTGTCCAACACGTCAACACATCCGCCGCCACCGACACTATGAGTAGTGATCTTCACACGGATTCCGTGTCCGACAGTCACGGCCTCGAAGGCGGCGATCAGGAGATCGACGACCAGTTTGTGGACGAAGAGGCGCTCAAAGAGAAGGACATTTCGCCGCAAAATGACGGCAAACTCATCAAACAGTTGCTCAAAGAGGGCAAAGGTTACCACCCATTCATCTCTTTGTCTCCCGTATTGTCTCTCTCTCTCTCTCTCTATCTGTACTGACAGCCCATGTATTGTGTGACCCATAGGTTGGGATAACCCGAAGAATGGCGACAAAGTGATGGTCCACTACACGGGACAGCTGTTGGACGGAACGGTGTTTGACTCTTCGCGCGATCGTAACGAACAGTTCTCGTTCACAGTTGGGGCCAAACAAGTGATCGAAGGCTGGGATATAGCCGTGAAGACGATGAAGCGGTCAGAAGTGGCGAAGTTTACGATAGCGCCGGAGTTGGCGTACGGAGAGACGGGCGCCGGACCGAAGATACCGCCCAACTCGACGCTCGTCTTCGAGATCGAACTCTTCGATTGGAAACTCGAGGACATCACCAAAAAGAAGGATTCGGGCGTTTGTAAGCGTATTCTCGTCGACGGTGAGGGCTATGAGACACCAAATCTCGGTACGTATTGATGACATAATGACCGCACCCTTACGTTAACGCGTTTTAACCGTTGTTGTTGTTGTCGACCACCACTTCAGGCGCCACTTGTGATATCCATTTGGTGGGCAAATACGACGGCAAAGTGTTTGAGACCCGAAACGTGACGTTTTCTGTTGGCGAGGCCTCCGAGGAAGGGATTGTCGACGGCGTTGAACTCGCCGTACGGAAGATGAAGAAGGGAGAGAAGT